ATAGGGAAAAGATATCGTGTACGTCGCATTTCCAAACTGTTGTTCTAAAGACAGTTTTGCTTAGAGTTGTTGTTTCAATATATGTCATGAAAATATTGGCAAAGGAATCAAAACTGCTGTCTTTGTGCCCATTGCAGTTCCTTGGTTTTGTAGGTATTGCTTTCCACTGAAGTGGAAGAAATTTTCGTTGAGGATTAATCTAAGCATTTCCGGCCAGTAATGTGTAGGAATGGGTTGTCTTTTTTGAAATTTTCATATGCTTTGTGACAGATAATTTCAATATGCCCTCGTTTTGCTGTATATTTGTGTCAAGATGTAGACTTATAACGTCCATTGAAACAAGAAATGTTCGTTTTTTCACATTCGTCTTTTTAGTGAAAGGTATGATTTCTGTGATTTTGATATTGCTTGTAGCAGTGTATCAACAAATTTTGTCAAGCACAGAACAAGGTTTATTGGATTATTAAGAGGAAACCGAACACCCATGTTTTAACTAGGGGGTGGGTCATGCAATTTCCAACCTTGCCTTAGGGGTGGGTCAGTCATTTTTGTGCCGAAGGGAGGGGGGGGGGTCATGTGTTTTTCATCAACCATATTTCCAAATGCTTCGGCCCACCCCCCCCTTCCCCATACTTTTTGACCAGTCCCTAAGCGGACCTTAAGTAAATCACACACAGAGAGACAATAAGTTATCCAATGAACCGGGTACACGCCTTTTTTGCAAAAGGGAACCAAGGCGAAAGAACGAGGGGGGTCTTTACGCAAAGTTTTAGAAAAGGTAAAACGCAATAAGTAACCCTCACGATCTTTTAATTTAAAAACCTGGCTGGCCAACAGGCGACCCAAATGCGATGCCCTGTCGCCTGTGAAGAAATCTATTACAAAAAAGGTAGCATCCCTAGCCAAAATATACTGACTAATTCTAGACAATGATTGACTATCAAAAATTTTTCCCCGTAAATGAGCAATTAAATTCTGGAACTTAACAAAGAACAATGGCACAGCTTGCGAAGGCGAAATAGCCATACCCGCCTGTTCGAAGCGAACAAAGTTCAAGTATTCCTTGATGCGAGGATGTGCGATAGGATTAGTGTGGTCGATGCGACCAAGTTTATTAAAGATGGACCTGAGCTTTCCAAGGAGGGAGTCAGCGGTGCCAGCGGCCAAACGGCGGGGGCAGGCGCAAGCTCCTCCGGAACATGTGGGGACATGAACCACTGTTCGCCCCGACGAATCTTTATAAATGAGAAACGTAATAACGTCGTCTACCGTTCAAGATGAAATTGTTTTAGGCGGGGAAACTGACGTCAGAAACGTAGATAATTGCTGCTCAAGGGCTGACTTCTGACGTTGATAGGGCCGACGCTCAAACGAAGACTTAAACTCTTGAAAACGCTCTTGAATAACCTTCTCATCCACAGGACCCCTGCCACGGGGAACAGCTGGCACCAAGGGCGCATTGGGAACTCCACACGCTTGACAGAAATTGGCATCTGCGTCATTCGGATACAAGCACGAACCACGGTCCAAGGTCGCGGAATCTAGCAGAAGACCATAAACGGGAAAGCGATAAGCCCACAAGTCCCACTGAAGACGTTGCGCCGACCAGACATGCGTGAAGCGAGAGGGAAAAAGCAACACAGCATCGTCGCCCTTCCTGCCAAGCAAAAGGCGATCGACCGCGACAGACTGAAGGAGAGCCCACCAAAAACGCCTGGGACGCAAATCTGGTACCTCCAGAGTAAGGGCCCCTTGGAATCCCTGATCCAAAAAATACCTCAATAGCGGACCGAGTAAAACAAAAGGCGAAAAGCGTAAATGTTATGTTCCAATGGGATGGGCTTCGCAAAGGTGTTAACCCCCTCAGAGGCCGGAGTAGGTCAAGGAGAATAATAAGGAAGCATTAGACCAGAACGATCCCTTCGACAGTTACTGTCTAACGCCATAAGATCTAAGGAGTGAGGACCGAATCTGCGCTCCACTGAATTCCAGGCCTTTTCTGACAACATACAGTCAAGGTCTGAACACGCTCGAGAAGGTGCGTCCGCCATATTGTCTCGGGAAAGAACATAATGGACATCAATAGCCAAGTTCAACTGACGGCTAAACGCCAAGATTTCCTTGACAGAATCGTTAACAGATGAATTCTTGCAGCCAAAATTGTCCAAGGCGGACTTGAGGGTTCGATTATCAGTATGAATATCAACCTTAGAATTACGTACGAGGTCTCGGAAAGCCAAGAGTGAGCGTACCAAAGCCTTCGCCTCGAGAGAGTTAATATCATCCGAAATATCCATCCAATAGTCTCTGGACTCGATCCTTCTCCCGTCCTTAAAAAGAACTCCACCCCACGAGCGTTTAGAGGCATCACAGAACAGGGAGACTATACAATGTTGCTCCGACCTCCAAGGCAAGCAATCTGACCAATCGTCTAAAAAGCGCCAGTACGCGACATAAAAGCGGAGTCTTCCTTGGACTTTAGCAGCAGTCTTGGAGGAACGCGTAAGCTGGGCTATTCGTTAAAGACTTCGCGGACGTAAAGCTTGCAACCAGGGATGGCTAAACTAAAAGAAACGACCTTGCCAGCGAAACCTTGCAGCGTTTTAAGACTGACACAGGAGGATGACAAAATACTTTCCCGCAAGGTCGCGAACTTGCTGTCTTCTTATCCTGGGCAATAAGAAACGCCTGGCGCATAGAATCGCATAAAAAACCCAAAAAACAGACCACCGTAGAAGGAACGTGCTGCGACTTGTCAGTATTAATGAAATAGCCAGCTTCGATCAGAATGTAACACAGAATGTAAGCTGCAGCTTCAGCTCTCTGAGCGCTTGGAAGAATGACGGAACGCATCGGAGAGCCAAAAAGCTGGCCCACATGACGGTCGTCAATATACTGTGACAGGGGAACCCCAAGGGAGCGAGCGGCATGCGAGACGACTAGATAAATATAGGCGCTGGCTTTCCAACCAAAGGGGAGCGTACGAAACACAAAAAAGAAATTATCCCACTCGAGCCCAAAGTACGTCTCCGACGACGGATGCAGCCGAACAAGCTGGTAGCCACTCTTGCCATCAAAGGTCGTCTGGAAATGCCCAGGCAAAACATACCGGGGCAAATCCGCCAGGTGATCTAATTTAAATGGAAGATCCCTAATCCATAAATTTAAAAACCTTTCGTCGTGGCAGAGACGAGGCTTGGAATGGCAATGGTAATAGGAAGGACCAAATGAGGCAGAGACACGACTCCAACCTCTCCCCAAACGGACAAAACCCCTGATGCCACCCACTGAACAATGGTATCGCTAATAAAATCAGCGAACTGTGGGCAAATAGCAGCGTTCTTGATCTGAATGGAAGGAGGGGTCTGCGCATGGTAGAACTGCCCCTTAAAATCCCCCCTAAATGGGGTGAAAAAATTCTCCACACGAACACCATCCCGGAGAATCTCGAGAAGATCCACCGCACAGGAATAATCCGCCAGAAGACGCTGCCAAACAGGGAAACTTTCGTGAAGCATACCAGCTTTAAAATGACCCGGGTCACGGAAGCGAAGGTTGGGCAAAACACCTAATTCCGGGCGTGAGGAAACCATCTCCGGAGAGGCCAGGGGCCAAGGAAGGGCTCGGTTCCCCGTGCCAAAATAGCGAAGAGGGACAGGTCCGCTAAACTGTAAATACGAGTCCCGAGCCTCCAAGCTCCGCGAGGCTGAAAAATGGAGTAAAGGGAAAACCGTACAGCTAGGCGGAGACAAACAGGGACACCAACCCCTTGTTGACCCCAGAATCCGAACCAGGTCCAGAACAGAGACACATAGGAGGTGCTCCAGGGTCAACGACGAGAAGGGGTTTTTTTCCCCTTTTTTTTTTTTTTTTTTTTTAAAAAAATGGAAAAAGATGAACAAAACAAAAATGTTTTATTTAAGAGCAAAAAAAAAAACAAAAAAAACATTAA